TAATTCTATCAGGGCTTTAGCTTTCCTAACCTGATCTCTGGCTGCTCGGAGAATTGCTCTGTTTTCCTCCCAGGCTACCTGTCCTTGCCTCCATCCTCTGTAGGTTTCCTTTTTGTCTTTGAGTTTCTCCAGGAGCTCCATGCAAGCCTCCTGGCGTTTTTGACTGACTTCCTCTTTGTTGGGATGTATTGCTCCTGAGCTTGAAGGAGGTGATCCTTGAATATTACCCAGCTTTCTTGGGCCCCTCTTCCTTCCAGAGCTTTGTCCCGTGGCACTCTACCAAGCAGATCCCTGAAGAGGCCAAAGTCTGCTCTCCTGAAGTCCAGGGTGGTGAGCTTGCCGTGCGCCCTCCTCAGTGCCCTAAGAATCTTGAACTTGATTAAATCAAGTGTAATTTATTTGCAGAAGACAGGATTGAAAAGATTCCCACCTAACCTTCTGGTTTTATGTAGGATTCCATCACACACCCACAATCAATGGAATCACACTCAAAGATATCAAGAGCAGAATTCAGTAATAGCATTTTACATGCCACAGCCTAACATGTCAGACAGGAGCACCTCTTGTCTGTGGGGGAGAAAGGTTGAATTGGAGAATGCAAACTGAATGACAGTTGTGGGAAAAAAGCTTCAGTAAGTTAAATGTGCTTGCGATCACACACATTGAGAGACACACTGCCTCTCTGACACAGGTATGTACTACATCAATTTTATAGAAAAGAAGATTAAGTACAGAAAAATGAAAACAAATTTCTTCAGACTGAGCTCATAGTAAACGTGAGGTATCTAGGTAATTTCAAGGGACCCAATAAAACTAGAAAAGCACAAAGCTACAGGCAAGAGGGAATCATAGAATCATAGAATCATTAAGGTTGGAAAAGACCTCTAAGACCATCGAGTCCAACCATCGACCCAACGCCACCATGCCCACTAAACCATGTCCCTAAGCGCCTCATCTACACGTCTTTTAAATACTTCCAGGGATAATGACTCCACCACTTCCCTGGACAGCCTGTTCCAATGTTTCACCACTCTTTCAGTAAAGACATTTTTCCTCATGTCCAATCCAAGCCTCCCCTGGCGCAACTTGAGGCCATTTCCTCTTGTCCTATCGCCAGTTACTTGGGAGAAGAGACCGACACCCACCTCGCTACAACCTCCTTTCAGGTAGTTGTAGAGAGCAATGAGGTCTCCCCTCAGCCTCCTTTTCTCCAGGCTAAACAACCCCAGCTCCCTCAGCCGCTCCTCATAAGGCTTGTTCTCCAGACCCCTCACCAGCCTCGTTGCCCTTCTCTGGACACGTTCCAACATCTCAACATCCTTCTTGTAGTGAGGGGCCCAAAACTGAACACAGTATTCGAGGGGCGGCCGCACCAGTGCTGAGTACAGGGGCACTATCACTTCCCTGCTCCTGCTGGCCACACTATTTCTGATACAGGCCAGGATGCCGTTGGCCTTCTTGGCCGCCTGGGCACACTGTCGGCTCATGT